CACCCACCACCTGAGACCCTCCCAACACATCCGAGCCCCTGAGACACCCCCGTGAGCCTCTGTGAGCCCCTCCCCATGAGACCATCCCCCAATGATCCACAACAATTTCCCCCCCCAACCCTCCCACTCTGCTCCACCCTCCTCTGAGCTCCCCAATTCCTACAGAGCCCCCTGTGAGTTTAACTCCCTGAGAGCCCCCCAACCCCTCCAAGCCCCCTCACAGGATCCCCCTGAGACCCTCCACCCCTGGAACCTCACACGGGGCTCTGAGCCCCCTAGAACCCTCTGCAAACTCCTGACATCTCCAGCCACCCCCATGCCCGTATGAGTCATAGAATCACAGAATCGCATAGAATCCTAGAACACTAGGGCTGGACGGGACCCCAAGAGTCATCAAGTCCAGTCCCCTGCCCCCATGGCAGGACCAAACACTGTCTAGACCATCCCTGATAGACATTTATCCAACCTCCTCTAAATATCTCCAGAGATGGGGATTCCACAACCTCCCTGGGCAATTTATTCCAGTGTTTAACCCCCCGACAGTTGGGAACTTTTTCCTAATGTCCAACCTAAACCTCCCTTGCTGCAGTTTAAGCCCATTGCTTCTTGTTCTATCCTCAGAGGCCAAGATGAACAAGTTTTCTCCTTCCTCCTTATGACACCTTTTTAGATACCTGAAATCAGCTATCATGTTTCCCCCTCAGTCTTCTCTTTTCTAAACTAAACAAACCCAATTCCTTCAGCCTTCCTTCATAGGTCATGTTCTCCAGACCTTTAATCATTCTTGTTGCTCTTCTCTGGACCCTCTCCAATTTCTCCACAACCCTCTTGAAATGCGGTGCCCAGAACTGGATACAATACTCCAATGGAGGCCTAACCAGCGCGGAGTAGAGCGGAAGAATGACTTCTCCTGTCTTGATCACAACACACCCCCAATACGCCTCCAGGCCCCACAATTCTCAGGGGCTGTGCCCGCTCCTGAGGAGAATTCACATTTGTTTCCCCACTCGTGGGGCTGAGCAGTGATCCCCCCTTGGGGGAGGCTCCCCTAGCTCTAGGGGTGCTGCCCATCTCTCCCCTCCCTCACAAAGGAAGCCCCATGGAATGCACATGCCTCTGGCCCCCCTCTGAGGTCCCGGGCTCTGGGTTCCCCTCCAGCAGGTTCTGAGCAGGCACTGAGGGGCCTGTTCCATGCAGGTTTGAATCTGGGGTGAGGGATAGGGGTCTGGCTGCTGGCCTCTCCCTGCCCCATCCCCCCAACCCCTGACAGGGTGCAACCCCAGCCCGGCCTTTGCCCCTGCTCCTGGCTACACCCCCCCTTTTACGTCCCAAGGCCTGACAGATACCTGCCTCCCCCAGCTCAGCCTGACACCCCCCACCCAGGGCTCCCTTGAGAGGGGCTGGGCAGGGGAGGCCTTAGCGACCCCCCATCCTGTATGTAGCAGAGCTGGGGGGTGGGGAGCAGACGTGCATGGAGCGGAAGGAACAAGAGGTGCTAAGTAACCACCTGAGGAAGAGAATAAGGCCCCCAAGGCCTGACAGATACCTGCCTCCCCCAGCTCAGCCTGACACCCCCCACCCAGGGCTCCCTTGAGAGGGGCTGGGCAGGGGAGGCCTTAGCGACCCCCCATCCTGTATGTAGCAGAGCTGGGGGGTGGGGAGCAGACGTGCATGGAGCGGAAGGAACAAGAGGTGCTAAGTAACCACCTGAGGAAGAGAATAAGGCCCAGAACCTCTTGCCTAGTGGGGCCCCTGTCGGGGTAGAAGGGGCCTTGGCTCCCCATCTGGGGCAGGAGCTGTCTGGAATGTGATGGGACCGGGGGGTGGCCTATGGGGAATCACCCTGCACCTTGAGCAGACATTTTCCACCCTCCAGGGCGCTCTGCCCCATAGTGGGAGGGGGCTGTTGTTGTCCCTCCTATTCACAGCCCTCTGCTCCACTCTGGAAAGGAGGGTCCCTCTGCTCCTCCCCTCAAGGGGGTGGGAGCTGTCTCACAACCCCCTTCTGAGAGGCTCCCTGCTTACTAGACCTCACTGCCCTCCTGGGGGTGGGGATAGAACCCAGGCAACCCGACTCTCCCAGCCTGCTGAGTCCTCCTTGAACCCCACCCAGAGCTCTGAGCCCCCTGAGCACCTCAAGGAGCCTCCCCAACCATGCCCCATGAACCTTCCCTTCTAGCCCCCCAAGCTCCTCCCCCGCCTGAGGAGCGCAGACATTTCCCCCTCTGGTGGGGCAGGAGGCTCTCCTCACCCTAAGGCTGCCTCTCCCACCCCCCACAAGCAGGACCCGGGTGAGGGGGGGGCCCTCGTGCTCACCCGTGCTGGGGTCGGGGGGCCCGAACTCCAGGGCGTAGCGCACCACAAAGTAGTTGTTCCAGACGTAGAGCTGGTTGTCGCGGGGGTTGTAATCCACGGAGGAGACATACTGGTAGGGGTTGGGGAAGGCCAGTGAGACCGGCTCCTCCCGGTTGAGGTTGGTGTTGAAGGCGTAGTCCACACGGTTGCCGGCCGCCTCACTGTCGTCATCCACGTAGACGGAGCGCACCACGTACAGCACCCCGCACACCATGAAGGCGTTGGAGGCCGAGCGCTTGTCGTAGCCCGTCTCCCAGGTGCCCTCAAAGCGCAGGGTGTAGGGGTTGAGCTGGCTCACCACCAGGCGCCCGTTGTTGCCCTCCGTGGCGTAGATCACCCACAGCCCGTTCTCGTCCACGGCCAGGTCGATGTCGGTCTTCCCCCCCCAGCGGTAGGGCGAGGTGTCGTGGTAGTTGGCCGTGTTGATCACCGTCTCGCCGCTCTTGATGCGGGTCCGCAGGTCGTACTTGATGATGTTGCGCGTCCGCTCCTTGTTGTAGAAGACGGCCCCGTCGTACACCACGAAGCCCGTGCCGTCCACGCGGTTGGGTAGCCGGTAGGTGGTGGTGTGGCGGGCGCCCATGTAGTCCTCCCACGAGGCATACTCCGTCAGCGTGTCTGTCCGGTAGGGAATCCACGGCATGACGTAGATCCGGTCGCCAGCTTGCAACGGATCTTTGCACCAGGCGCCCGACTGATGCTCTGATTCGTGGGTGGACGTGGCCTCCAGCACCTTCTGTAGGGTCCCCGGGCAAACGAATACTGGGGGGGGGGGAGCAGGGAGGGGAGGGAGATTTGGGCAAGTGGGGGAGGGAAGAGGAGGATCAAGAGAGCAAGCGAGTAATAGAACGAGAGAGAGAGAAAGAGAGAGACAGAAAGAAAGAGAGAAAAGAGAAGAATAAATTTGTAACAGGCTGTCGGCTGGAGGAATGAAAATCAACGCTCGGTTCCGAGGTCAGCTGCAGTCATGGGTAATTCATCTCTGTTATTGAGCAGAGCCTGTGGGGGGGAGGTAGAGGAGGGCGGGGGGCATGGTGACAGACAAGGGGCCCCAGATCTAAAGAGAGAAAGGAATTTGCCCCAACTCAGTGGAAAGGGAGCGAGGTCACTTGCTCTGGAGAGCGGGCTGGGATGGCTCGGCTGGAACCATTTGTAGCCAGCCCAAACTCCTCCCGGCTACCCCCTTCTCCTGACCCAAGGCGAGTGTGAAATGTCCCTGGGGCAGACCGGGCGGGGGGAAGGGGGCAGCACTGCATGGTCTCCCAGGGAGCAATGGGAATCTGCCCCATTTGCCAGAGATTGTCCGGGCTGCAGGGCAAACAGGATGGGTCTGATCCCTGGCTTTGTGATGCAGGGACTCTCAGGGGGACCCCAGCTTAGCTCAGGCAAACGAAGGCTGCTGGTGAAAAGTGAGTGATCCGTCAGCCAGGGGGCGGAAAGATCTGGCCTTGTTCTTAGCTGGTTCTCCCTCCCGGCTGGGAGCCAGGTCAGCACTATTAGGTGCATCATAATAGGTGGGGAAACTGAGGCACTGAGTGGCAAAATGACGCCCTCCAAAGGGAAGGCAGCTGGGGATAGAGTCCAGGAGTTCTGACTGCCAGCCCCTCCAATATCTCCACTAGGAGCCCGCTCCCTTAAGGAGGTAGGAATAAAATCCAGACATTGTGACGACCCCCTGCTGTAATTGTTAGGAGCCACTCCTGCAGCTGGGACCCAGGGGTCCTGTCTGCCCTTCTCTAACCCCGTAGACCTCCCTTTTCCCAGAGCTGGGAACAGAACCCAGGAATCCGGGCTCCCAGCCATGCCTACTCTAACCACTACACATCATGCCCCTCTGGGTAACATTCCTCCTGAGCTGCTGAAGATTCCTCAGGCGAGAAACCCCGTTCCCTTTGGAAGATGGGAAGGACGGTGATGGACGCGCTCCCCTCTAGCCCCTCTTCCTACACGCTGACGGGAGTGACACCGACTGGGAGGTGGAGGACACGGTTGGAATGAAAAATAAGCAAAGCAAAAGGTCCAACATTTTGCCCATTCAAAAGGAACAGCGGCAGAGCCCCGGCTGGGATCCTGTGTGCAGCTGACGTCTCGCTGGGCGTGGGGGGCTAAGGGGGTGTCCTGTGGCCCTGGGGGGCAGGGAAGGATTAATGCAGAGCCCTGCAGAGAGATCCTGCCCCTTCGAAAGAGTCTGGGGTCAGCGGCCTGTGGGGTTAGCAGACGGTGCCGGATTCCCTCCTGGGACGAACAGCTGATGGAAGGACAGAAGAACAAAGCAGTCTGGTCTGCTCCCCCCCCACCACCTCCCCAAATTCCGCCCCACACCGGGG